AAAGAATGTGGTGTCATTGTCCTAGAATGTGACCCAAGAACAGGCACTTCCCTAAGCCATAGGCTATTCTTGACTTGCATTATATATCTCACCCCACCATGTTCCTAAAGAAACCTCACTTCTCTTTCACCCCAAAACCCTAATTAATTAAAACCCTAATTAATTAAAACCCACAAACCTCATTAAACACAATCCAAGACTCGTGTCTCAAAAACCTTAATTAGTAGTGTACATACATATAATAAATATGAGTTTGCCCACTAGCAATTATTAAATTTGATTCCTACCCTACAATTTCATCATCCTTTTTGGCCAGCCACGTATAAAAACCCTTTTAGAGATCACACTTTTGTTTCATCCCATTATCATATCATTCTTCAAGAACACAAAGCTAGAGAGATTAAAATAAACACAAAAATGTGTTCCTCCAAATCAAAGAACATGACCCAAGAAACCATTTCCCAAATCAATGGCCGTCCTGTTCTTCAGCCAAAATCAAACCAAGTTCCAACATTAGACCGACGTAACTCACTCAAGAAATCTCCTCCTAATAAGGCTTTGATCCATCCCATTTCATCAAAGATACCTTCACCAAGATCAATTTCTCTAAACTCTCCTCCTTTGTCTCCCAACTCAAAACCCTTAAGAAAACCTGCCGGTTCTTGCAAGGAACTACTTAGCACTAGCTATGAGAAGCCTAAACCGGTCAAATTATTAGAGAACAGTGATGGTGGCTACAAAGAGGTTATGTCCATGGTGGTTGTTCAGAAACTGCCTGGAAGTATAGCGGCTGCAAGAAGAGAAGAGGTTGCGATGAAACAAGAAGAGAGAAAAAAGAAAATCTCTCATTACGGTAGAATCAAATCCGTAAAATCGAACGAAAAGAGCTTCAATGTTGAGCAAGAGAAGAAGAAGAGGTGCAGTTTCATCACTACAAGTTCAGGTCTGTAAAAGTTCCTTAAACGCTTTCCTTGTTTAGCAAGAAAACAATTTCTTTTTCGTTTACTAAAAGTCAGCTTTAATTAATGGAATCCAAAATCTTAAATCTGTTTTACAGATCCAATATATGTTGCTTACCATGACAATGAATGGGGAGTTCCTGTTCATGATGACAAGTAAATAAAAAATCTCTTATTTTTTAACTAAATAAAACTCAATTTCTTAAGAATTGAAACTAATTATGATTAGTGTTCAAATATTTTCTTAGGTTACTGTTTGAGCTTTTGGTGCTAACCGGAGCTCAGGTTGGATCCGATTGGACTTCTGTTTTAAAGAGAAGAAACAGTTTTAGGTATGAAATTATAAGAAACCCACAAAAAAAATCGATTTTTTCTTATAAATTTTGCTTTTCTAGTGAAAATTTTGGACTAAATATGCAAACCTTTGGTTATACAGAGAGGCTTTCTCTGGTTTCGAAGCAGAGTTGGTCGCAGACTTCAACGAGAAGAAGATACAGTCAATAGTCAACGACTATGGCATTGACCTTAGCCAAGTCCTTGCAATTGTTGACAACTCTAAACAAATTCTCAAGGTATAGATTTTATGATCGTTAAATCAGGTACCTATAATTAATTGTAATTGTTACAAAGTAAAATTATATGAATTTTGTGTTTTGCAGGTGAAAAGAGATTTTGGTTCGTTCAACAAATACATTTGGGGGTTTATAAAAAACAAACCGGTCACAACAAAATACACATCTTGCCAAAAGATTCCGGTTAAGACATCAAAATCAGAAACCATAAGCAAAGACATGATTCGTCGTGGGTTTAGATTCGTTGGTCCGACCGTTATACATTCGTTAATGCAAGCCGCCGGTTTAACCAACGACCACTTGATCACTTGTCCGAGACATCTCGAGTGTACGGCCATGGCGGCTCTATAGGCAAAGAGATTATTGTTCTTGTCACTTTTGGCTTTTTTATTTATGTAACTAAATTAAATAAATATTTATGCGTTATTTTTTTTTTTGTAGTACTATGTCTACTACCATGTGATCTTTAGATTTGAGGTCCTAACTTTAGGTATTGATATTTTTTGTACAAAAGCTTCTTCTTCTTTTTTTTTT